CTAATATATTATAATATTAATTTATACTTGCGAAAATTCCCGTTTTGAATGAACAGCATGTTAAAATTTATGAATGCGTCTGTGGGGTTGACCACAGAATGTAATGGACTTGAGTCGAGGACGGGTTGTGGAAATACTTCACCCACGTACTACAAATACAAATAATCGCCAACAGAACCTAAACACCTAACCTAACCTATGCACATATATGCATAAATATAATATATTATAATATTAATTTATATTTGAGAAAATTCCTATTTTGAATGAACAGCATGTAAAAATTGATGAATGCGTCTGTGGGGTCGACCGCTGGATGTAATGGACTTGAGTCGAGGACGGGTTGCAAGGAACATAATTGGTATAATTTTGGTATTTGCTCCATAGCTGGGAATGTTGTTCATGGACACTGCTTATCTCCTCACAATGTACATACAAAAATAGGCTCATTTAAAAGGTTTAATTTATTTAATTAATTAATTATTAATCTAAATTTAATTCCACAAATTTACCACTTTCGTAATGTCATTAGCAGTAGTCTAAATCTCCCAAGCATCTGTCTAGCTGCAAATGATTCACAATATATGCACCAACGAGTCCGTTTATCATCTTACAGTATATGATAGTAGGAATATATGTTATCATCCTCCATATTGTTGCAGGGTTCACCTCAGCATTATTTACAGTTCTGTACTACATATTTTAACCACACAATTTCATTTGTAATAGTGACATCATTTAAACTATTTCATTAAATCTGGTGTTGCTTGTCCATTTTAAAGAATGAAGAACAATTTAATTTATTTCATTTTTAGGCTGCATCTCTTATAAACTCATCCCTGCCCTTGTGAGGCATTGCATAATAGAAAGTTGGATTTACAAATGCGTAAATTGAAATGTGTATACTATCTAATATAGTTGTTTACATATATATATATATATATATATATATATATATATATATATATATATATATATATATATATATATATATATATATATATTTGAGGATATAAATATATATATAATATATATAAATGCCTAATGCCAAGTTTTCATGAATTAATTGTTTTTCGACTACCTAACCTACCTAACCTAACCTAACCTAGCTTTTTTGGCTACCTAACCTAACCTATAAAGTTACACGCTATACTAAATATGTTAAAATTCCATTTCAATGTTTCCGATTTCATTGATGAATTGAATTTTCATAGATTTCGATTTATTTTCATTTTGATTTAATTATTTTGTGTGAATTGCGTTGGAATTGAGCTGTGTTGTTTACCATAACGTTCATTTCATGAGTATAGTTTATTTTTTTATTTTTTCATTGTTTTTCATTTCGATTTTTTAACTTTTTTCTTATATTTCAGTGATAGGAACATCTGGGGCCAGATTCACGAAGCAGTTATGCAAGTACTTACGAACGTGTACATCTTTCCTCAATCTTTGATTGCTTTGGTTACATTTATTAAACAGTTTACAAGCACGAAAACTTCCCAATCAACTGTTGTTATTGTTATAAACATCCTCCTGGTGCTTTGGAACTCATTAATTGTTTAATAATTGTAAACAAAGCCCCCAAAGATTGAGAAAAAATGTACAGGTTTGTAAGTGTTTACGTAACTGCTTCGTGAATCTAGCCCCTGATCATTTGATGTTCCCAATGTTCTGATGGAAAGGGAAGGGAAGGGAATTATCAGCGGAAAGCACCAATCCATTACAACTATATAGCACTTGGAAGGGGTCAGGATAAGGATTTGGGATGGGCCCGGGGGAAAGGAATGGTGTCCAATCACTTGGACGGTCAGGGATTGAACGCTGACCTGCATGAAGCGAGAGCGTCACTCTACCGTCCACCCCAAATGGTTAGAACATCAGATGAGGGAGTGAGGGATGGTGGGGAGGACGAGGGGACAGGGGAATGGAGAATGGTGGGGAAAGACAAGGGGATAGGGGAATGGGGGATAGTGGGGAGGACGAGGGGACGGGGGAGTGGGAGATAGTGGGAAGGACGAGGGGACGGTGGAGTGGGGAATGGTTATTAGGACTAGGGGATGGTGGGGAGGAAAAAGGCACGAGGAAGTGAGGAATGGTGGGGAGGACGAGGCGACGTGGGAGGAGGGGGGATGGTGGGGAGGACTGGGAGATATGTGGAAGGTTGTTGTGGCTCAGCAACGTGTGGCCGGGTACAGCTAGTGTATATATATTATATATATATATATATATATGTCGTACCTAGTAGCCAGAACTCACTTTTTGGCCTACTATTCAAGGCCCGATTTGCCTAATAAGCCAAGTTTTCCTGAATTAATATATGTTTTCTAATTTTTTTCTTATGAAATGATAAGCTACCCATTTCATTATGTATGAGGTCAATTTTTTTTTATTGGAGTTAAAATTAACGTAGATATATGACCGAACCTAACCAACCCTACCTAACCTAACCTAACCTATCTTTATAGGTTAGGTTTGGTTAGGTAGCCGAAAAGTTAGGTTAGGTTAGGTTAGGTAGGTTAGGTAGTCGAAAAACAATTAATTCATGAAAACTTGGCTTATTAGGCAAATCGGGCCTTGAATAGTAGGCCAAAAAGTGAGTTCTGGCTACTAGGTACGACATATATATATATATATATATATATATATATATATATATATATATATATATATATATGGAGGGATGAAGACTGTTCTACACCCTCCCTCCAAACAATAAGGGGCATAAGTTGCTGTTCAAAAGGGAATGTGATAAAAACCTTGGAAGGGCACCTGTCAACCGAGCTGCAGGTCACATCATATACTGGTCACACGGCAACATTGCTACATGAGTAGTGACGTGATCAATCTACGAATACTCGCTATAAAATTACTGTAATCTCGTCCTCTGTAATTTTTATACTAAAATATATTTTAATTATTATTATAGTTGAATTTAAGTCTACGAAGACTATTCATAATTTTCTCACATTAATAATTTTGGAAACATTCTGGTATGGTAGAACAAGAAAGGTTAACAACGTTGACAGAAGATACTTCTCATATTTTATTTGAGATTTCTTTACAATGGTTCTTACTAGAAAAGTTGTCTCTACAATAAAATACAAATAATATTATACACTGTACAAGGGCAGCCTCAGGTCAGGGGTTTGTGGCGCGCGCCGGGGTCATTCAGGGGGTCACTTCCCACACTCCAGCACACCCCTATACACCACGTTAAGTATGATTCTCCGTGTTCAAGGCTCATGAATTACACAAGCAAGGGGGGGGGGAGATACAAAACAGAATAGGCAAGAAGGCGGAAGGGAACTATCAGGAGTGTCAAGCCATTACGACTATATAGCACTTGGAAGGGGTCAGGATAAGGATTTGGGATGGGACGGGGGAAGGAATGGTGCCCAACCACTTAGACGGTTGGGGATTGAACGCCGACCTGCATGACGTGTAGACCGTCGTTCTACCGCCCAGCCCAAGTGGTTGGGCACCTTTCTTCTTCCCTCCGCCCAGAAAAGACAAAAAACGAAAGGAGACAAAAGCAATAAAAGCTGGAGCATTTATTGAGGTAGTGAGAAAACAGAAGTTAATTATGTCCAGCCAAACTTTAAAACACAAGACAGGATGATTACCGAGTGTGGGAACCGGCCCTCAATCTTATCTAGTCCTGAGTAACAGAGCATCTTCATCTCACCTCCCAGCTTCTACACACACAAGCTGGGGCCACGCGACGGGTCACCAGGATATAATATATATATACTATGATAAATAATACGATACCGACCACAAAAAGTCATTACAAAAATAAACAAACACATCTGAGACACAACAAAAATATCTATAAGGAGACTGACCTCTTCAACCATGCCTATACACAACACATTACTGCACCCTCTCCGAGTTCGCCACACATGCTAATCTCTTAAACCTAAAAATATACACGCACATTATTGAACTTAATATTCTCAACTCACTTTATATTGCCAAAATTGTATTTTACAAGAATTTAATGATAACAAACGTTCGACAAACACACACACACACACACACACACACACACACACACACACACACACACACACACACACACACACACACACACACACACACACACACACACACACACACGCCTTCCCGCACGCATACCTCACAATGCTCCCAGTTGTGCTGGAGAGCGAGAGAGATAACATCAACACCAGAGAGGAACACGCCTGTGACATCCCAGCAAACATACACAATACGAAACTACAATACACGGGATTTTCACACATGGTATAAACGTCTTAACCCCATTATGAGTATTTATTTCACTTACAATATCTTAAGATTCATCTTGTACAACAAAATTAGCCAACATAAGCATAACTTCTCGTATGGTTATTTTGGAGACAAATTTGGCTTATTCGAATGCAAATTGACAGAGCAGCATCAGAGGTGTACCTATGCATGCCTCGTATGCTTCCAACTGTGTTTACACAACACTAATAATAATTCTTAGCAGCAGAAATATCTTGGAGGCAGACTGTGGTATGCGTACGGGAGGTGTGGTCAGGGCTGGGAATGTGTGTTCCGGTTGGTGGTCGCGGCCCCACCACGCCCACCACTATGGTCCTCGGCCCCACCACGCCCACCACTGTGGTCCTCGGCCCCACCACGCCCACCACTGTGGTCCTCGGCCCCACCACGCCCACCACTGTGGTCCTCGGCCCCACCACGCCCACCACTGTGGTCCTCGGCCCCACCACGCCCACCACTGTGGTCCTCGGCCGCCCACGCCTGACTACATGACAACATGCCCCACAGTCACCCCTGAAGAAGGGCCACTGAAGGGTTACGGGCCGAGGAAGGGGAGAACTGCGTGACTCATCTCCAGCCAGGACTTGAAAACAAAACATTTATGATACAAATTTTGGAGCATTATATATATATATATATATATATATATATATATATATATATATATATATATATATATATATATATATTATATATATATACATATATATTATATATATATAAACATATAATATATAAATTCACTGGCCTTTAGAAATGAGCTACGCATTACAGATTTTCTCCTCTTACTTTAGTGAGGTATAAATTGATACTAGATTGTGTGGGTGTGAGTCACACTGCACTCCACATCTTGACATGACGTCACACACACACCAAGCTGGACTTGTAATATCTGCAGATGTCAAGAGTATCTACCAGCTCACTCAGCCACAGGTGTTAGAGGAAGGTGACACATTCCACACCTACTCGCTGGTCGACGCTTGTAAACACTCGCTCATCATAAACACTTCGTTTTAACACTTATAGTTTTGAAACAAAAAGAACACTTTTCACTTCTGTGTGAGTGTAAACCCGTGCACAGGAGAGGAGTGTGAGGGAGGGGTTGGAGTGCCCCGGAGCAGGGGACGCCACACCACTGCCTGAATCACCTTATCCAACTCAGGTCCATCACAACTTTACTTCCATAAATAACAATGTTTATACAGCGAGCATCTTATGGGAGCAAAGAAACAGGTACTTCATTGAACACCTTTCACAAATACTGACCATCTGAATAAAAAATACAATTGTAGTACATGCCTTTATAATATAAAACAAATAAAAGGCCAATAACAATTCCCAAAATAAGAAAAACAAATTGAGGTAAGAAGATAGAGGCATGTCTTAAATGTGTCAACATTGTAGAGTTAGACAGCACAACTGAGTAGGCATTACTGGAGAGAAAATTATCAGTTTTTCTTAATACTGCTTTGACATGTGTCACTTGTTAAGGGACATAAGGTATCAGATAAGTGACAGTTGAATGCGTACTTGTACGGGAGGCCGCTTGATCCCTGCACCACTGTAACACTTTAAACACAGCAATGGTACTCACACCTCCAGGAATGACAAAATGATTAAAATACTCTAAATATATCTTGGCCTTGCCAGACATTTACTCTACACTGGGGAGGGACGGGAGGAGCCCAGGGGCTCAGTGTTTGTGTCTTGCATACTGGAGTGCCAGCTGGAACACTCGAGTGCCAGCTGGAACAGTGGAGTGCCAGCTGGAACAGTGGAGTGCCAGCTGGAACACTGGAGTGCCAGCTGGAACACTGGAGTGCCAGCTGGAACACACAACACCAGCACACACCTTCCGCGGGAGACGTGGAGAGAGTGATCACTTGCTGATTGATCACTTGATCACCTGAGGTCATATCTGAACCTCGAGGGATTGAGGATGATGGATCAAGAGGTAGTTGAAGCTGTAGATGTCAGTCTATCTCAGCATTAAGGATCCAATGAAGTAGCTTCTGAAAATGGGTTATTGCTGGAATCCTTATACTGGATGAGGTCGCAGTAGTTCACATCCCCTAAGAAGGTGCTGACAAGGGACAGAAGCAGTTTCTTTGACGAGTGGAGTAACTGAGTAGGGTTCGACTTGTTTGATTTTGGCTTGGACTTTCCTCTGGAGGGCCCAGTAGCACCATATGGACGAGGCGGATGTACACCTGCGGAGAGAAACTATGATTAGATAAGGAATTACACTGAGGTAATGTCCTCTGAATACTGAAGTACAATACATGAATGAAACTCTCATGGATTATCTTGTGGTGCTTCTGAGGACCAGTGTACCCGTGTCGTTGAGTATATCCACCCCAGCCCTCACACCACACCACCCACCACACCACCCACCACATCACCCACCACACCACCCACCACACCACCCACCACACCACCCACCACACCACCCACCACACCACCCACCACACCACCCACCACACCACCACACCTCACACACCGATACGCTGCAACTAGCAAGGCATAAATTATAACTTTTGAATGGGTGGGCCATTAATTAAGGGAAGATCAAAGAGTGCACCAGACCCGCCACCTCCCCTTACAATCCCACCAGATTAAACGCTTCGACTCTTAAACTTAGTCGAATTGATGAGGAATCTCCACCACGCTCGATATAGCCCCAAAACACACCCGAAAAATGTCGAGTTAAGCGAACCACCAGAGAGAGCAAAGGGCCATAGCATGAAACATCTAATAATACGAAACTGACTATAATCTCACGTTCCTATGGGAACATCCGACACTCGACCCTCTGCCAGAGACACGTCCGGGTCATTTGGCCAGGACGGGGGGCGGTGAGGGATGCGACTGTCTTCTCCCAAGCGGACCATTACAAATAGTCGGGAGACTGCACACGACTCTCGCCCTTACCGCAGATAATAGGGCAAGCCGGGACACCGGAGGGAGGCTTGCGCCCCTGTGGCCGCCCAGCGGGTCTCCCGTTTAGATAGCAGAAAACCGCGAGGGGAGACATTCCACAGATTACACCTAGCTAGGGTTATCTAGCGGGAACTGGTGTGTGCTACCCGTAGGAGCTGCTCGTCCTGCTACAGTAGTGCGCAGCGTGGTGTGGGTGCCGCAGGGAGCGTGTGGTGGCCTGCAGGAGGTAGAGGAGGGAGGGGGCAGGGCAGACAGGAGCCAGGTGCGCGGCAGCAGGGTGGCGGCGGCGCCCGGGATGCGCCCCTCTGCCCGGCCACACACCTCGTCCTGGATTGAGACATCAACGTCAGCGCAGGTAAATACGCCCGACCCCGCTACACCGACCTCCACACCCGCCGCCCACCCCGCCCAAGCCCACACACGCCCACCCCGCTCAACCCCTGGCTCACCTACCTCCTACACACTAGTTATTACATGGGCCACGCCTATGCCACCTCGGGAGTTGGGGGGCAAGGGTGCTGTGGGCGGTGTGGGACGCCACAACTCAGGTCATTGTGTATGTGGGAGTTGTACGCTGTGTCTGTACTGGGGCGGACCCTACTCACACATGCACGCACACACACACACACACACACACACACACACACACACACACACACACACACACACACACACACACACACACACACACACACACAAATGTGTGTGATGTGGTGGAGGCTGACTCCATACACAGTTTCAAGTGTAGATATGATAGAGCCCAGTAGGCTCACGAATCTGTACACCTATTGATTGACGGTTGAGATACGGGACCAAAGAGCCAGAGCTCAACCCCCGCAAACACAACTAGGTGAGTACAACTAGGTGAGTACAAAGCCAATGCTGACCAAAGAGCCAGAGCTCAACCCCCGCAAGCACAATTAGGTGAGTACACATAGCTTTTAGGGAGCTTTACACTGCCTACGTGAGACCAGTCTTAGAGTATGCCACGTCATCATGTCCCCACCTGAAGAAACACATAAGGAAACTGGAGAAGGTTCAGAGGTTTGCGACGAGGCTTGTCCCAGAGTTACGAGGAATGGGGTATGAAGAGCGCCTGAAGGAACTGAACCTTACCACACTAGACAAAAGAAGGGAGAGAGGAGATATGATAGGAACATAAAAAAATACTCAGGGGGAATTAACAAAGTGGAAATAGATGAAATGTTCACGTTATATTAACAGAACGAGGGGACATGGGTGGAAGCTGGAAACTCAGATGAGTCACAGAGATGTTAGGAAGTTTTCTTCTAGCGTGAGAGTAGTGGAAAAATGGAATGCACTTAAGGAACAGGTTGTGGAAGCAAATACTATTCATAATTTTAAAACTAGGTATGATAGGGAAATAGGACCATAGTCACTAATGTAAACAACTGATGGCTAGAAAGGCGGGATCCAAGAGCCAATGCTCGATCCTGCAAGCACAAATAGGTGAGTACACACACACACACACACACACACACACACACACACACACACACACACACACACACACACACACACACACACACACACACACACACACACACAGACCATGTCCTGGAGTATGCGACTCCAGCATGGAGTCCATATCTAATCAAACATAAGACTAAACTGGAAAAGGTTCAAATGTTTGTCACCTGGTTGATACCTGGTTGATACCTGGTTGATACCTGGTTGATGGGGTTCTGGGAGTTCTTCTACTCCCCAAGCCCGGCCCGAGGCCAGGCTTGACTTGTGAGAGTTTGGTCCACCAGGCTGTTGCTTGGAGCGGCCCGCAGGGCCACGTACCCACCACAGCCCGGCTGATCCGGAACTTCTCTTAGAAAACCGTCCAGTTTTCTCTTGAAGATGTCCACGGTTGTTCCGGCAGTCACCAGACTAGTACCCGAACTAAGAGGTATGAGCAACGAGGAGAGACTACGGGAATTAAACCTCACGTCATTGGGAGACAGAAGACTTAGGGGGGACAAGATCTCCACATACAAGATTCTCAAAGGAATTGATAAGGTTGATAAAGACAGACTATTTAACACAAGGGGCACACGCACTAGGGGACACAGGTGGAAATTGAGTACCCAAATGAGCCATAGAGACATTAGAAAGAATTTTTTTCAGTGCCAGTGGTTGACAAATGGTATGCATTAGGGGGTGATGTGGTGGAGGCTGACTCCATACACAGTTTCAAGTGTAGATATGATGGAGCTCGAGAAGCTCAGGAATCTGTACACCAGTACCAGCTTGATACCTGGTTGATGGGGTTCTGGGAGTTCTTCTACTCTCCAAGCCCGGCTCGAGGCCAGGCTCGACTTGTGAGAGTTTGGTCCACCAAGCTGTTGCTTGGAGCGGCCTGCAGGCCCACATACCCTCCACAGTCCTGTTGGTTCGGCACTCCTTGAAGAAAACTATCTAGTTTTCTCTTGAAGATGTTCCGGCAATATTTCTTATGCTCGCTGGGAGGACGTTGAACAACCGCGGACCTCTGATGTTTATACAGTGTTCTCTGATTGTGCCTATGGCACCTCTGCTCTTCACTGGTTCTATTCTGCATTTTCTTCCATGTCGTTGACACACACTGTACTCCCCTTCATATAGGGGAGTACAGTAGTAGCTGCATTACTGCACATGTACCTATATGTTGATGAAACATTACTGCACATGTACCTATATGTTGATGAAACATTACATGTACCTATGTTGATGAAACATTACTGCACATGTACCTATATGTTGATGAAACATTACTGCACATGTACCTATATGTTGATGAAACATTACTGCACATGTACCTATATGTTGATGAAACATTACTGCACATGTACCTATATGTTGATGAAACATTACTGCACATGTACCTATATGTTGATGAAACATTACTGCACATGTACCTATATGTTGATGAAACATTACTGCACATGTACCTATATGTTGATGAAACATTACTGCACATGTACCTATATGTTGATGAACATTACTGCACATGTACCTATATGTTGATGAAACATTACTGCACATGTACCTATATGTTGATGAAACATTACTGCACATGTACCTATATGTTGATGAAACATTACTGCACATGTACCTATATGTTGATGAAACATTACTGCACATGTACCTATATGATGATGAAACAACAAACTGCCCACTGGAACACTGACGTTGTTACGGTCCCCCCCCCCCCCCCGAGCCCCGCCCACCTCCCAGACCACGGTGCTGCAGGGGCGCCACCCCACCACGCCCACGGTGACAAGGTGCGGCTGGGACAGTTCCTGGCCCCCCCCCCCGGAACAAGGTGGTGCTGGGGCTGCTCCTAGCTGCCCCCCCGGAACAAGGTGGTGCTGGGGCTGCTCCTAGCTGCCCCCCGGAACAAGGTGGTGCTGGGGCTGCTCCTAGCTGCCCCCCGGAACAAGGTGGTGCTGGGACTGCTCCTAGCTGCCCCCCGGAACAAGGTGGTGCTGGGGCTGCTCCTAGCTGCCCCCCCGGAACAAGGTGGTGCTGGGGCTGCTCCTAGCTGCCCCCCGGAACAAGGTGGTGCTGTGGCTGCTCCTAGCTGCCCCCCGGAACAAGGTGGTGCTGGGACTGCTCCTAGCCGCCCCCCGGAACAAGGTGGTGCTGGGACTGCTCCTAGCCGCCCCCCGGAACAAGGTGGTGCTGGGACTGCTCCTAGCCGCCCCCCGGAACAAGGTGGTGCTGGGACTGCTCCTAGCCGCCCCCCGGAACAAGGTGGTGCTGGGACTGCTCCTAGCCGCCCCCCGGAACAAGGTGGTGCTGGGACTGCTCCTAGCTGCCCCCCGGAACAAGGCGTGTGTGTCGTGTGCGCCTTCGGCAGCCTGGAAGGCTGGGGCTCCCCTAAGAATTATCTAATTTAGCACGGGCGTGGTAATGGCCGGGTTGGGGGAGCGGGCTGGCCACGAGGCGGCGGCAACATCAAAGTCCAGCGCCGTGATTGAATTCTTCACACAATCACCGCACAATAATGGCGCTCTCGTGTAAAATTAGCGACGCCGGGACTCCGCGCATTGTGGCCCCTGACGCCGCCTTCGCCGCTCCGGACGCGCTCATCTCCTTCACGTGGTGGATGTCTGTCACCATGTGTGGGGGGGGGGGGACCCCTGTGAGCGTATGGTCCCTGGGCCAAGGGACCAAGGGGCAGGTGCAGTCAGGACGGACGTCTTCCTGGAGTGGGAGGCCAGGGACGGAGGCGCGGCGGAAGCAATAGAGCGGTAGTCAAGCGACCTTTCCGTCCTTT